GAAGTGGAACCCATGAATAAACCACTTTGGGAAGTATGAGAAAGCCACTGAAAATATCGTCTTGTCCTGGAAGTTGCCCTTTATTGTTAATATGAAGTAGAAAAGGTGGGTCAACTTTGAAATTTAGCCTACATGTGTGAATTCTGACAAAAAGTGATTGGGGGTGAATTAAGAAGTAGAACTTCTTCCCATAAATAGCAACTTAATTTGTAAATTAGCACTATAAAACAACCAATCCAGTCATCTAATTTGGGGTTATTTGAGGCATGGCATCATGAGACACAAGCTATTTGACACCAACTCAATTTTGGAATGCACATCCTACCAAAACCTAAACTCAATTGTTGCAGAAGCATGTGTGCCTATGAGAACGAACACACACACACACACACACACACACACACACACACACACACCAAGAAGATGGGGATATGATTCTTCACTTTTAGTTGTGAAAATCCCCACCTTAATGATTTAAATGAACTGTCAGAGAGAAAGAGTGCACCTGTCAAAGATTTCTCTTCTTGCATGACACTTTCCCTTCTCAGAACTGCTGTTTTTAGCCGAAAAGCTTTTGAAAAGAGGTTAACAATTTTATTTCCTATCTCCATTGGGTGAGTTTATCTTGACATAGTTTAAAAGAGCTTTCTTAAGTATTGAGGGTGCTATTACAGATAATTCTTGATTATTCACAGGATAATTGTCACTTTGTGAATGTTAGATCACTTTTATACTCTTTTTCTTTCTGCTGGGAGCTTCTCTGGTGTGAGAGCACGAAAGTCAAAATGAACACTCATAAGTTTAGTTTAGCAGGCAATCTCTGAGGTGGACCAGTTCTGAGTCACCTCCAGGGGTTTGGGCTGAGAACCAGTCATGGTCCCAGCTTGACTTAAAATGCCTGGACTTGCTCTATGAAAAAGTGAAGGGGCAAATGTGACAGAGTTGCCCTAATGATAATTTGTCAAGTTCTCGTCTGGGGATAAGACAGTGCCCGAGTCTAGCAGCATCCAGAGTCCTTTCTGCACTGGCTGAAAGCGCAGTGTTGTACACAGTAATGCAGAGGTGACCGCCTAGTGGTTTCCGTGTTACTGTGTGGTAACTGTGTAGTACCTGGTAATGCAGAGGTGACCGCCTGGTGGTTTCCGTGTTACTGTGTGGTAACTGTGTAGTACCTGGTAATGCAGAGGGGACCGCCTGGTGGTTTCCGTGTTACTGTGTGGTAACTGTGTAGTACACGGTAATGCAGAGGGGAACGCCTGGTGGTTTCCGTGTTACTGTGTGACAACTGTGTAGTACACGGTAATGCAGAAGTGACCGCCTGGTGGTTTTCCTTCATCTGGGGATTCTATTGAAAAGTCACCATTCTGCTTGAGCCTACTTTTGAGTTAACTAGATTCTACACTGATATGAATCCTAAATATTAAAAATAGGTCTTCAAAGTGGAGACCCTCCAGACATAGAGACATCTTTAAAGAAAATGATGACTAGTTTCCAGAAATACACTGCAAAAGATAAATTCCATGGATTTGGAGTCGATCATTAAGCAGGTTCTGAGTTGATCATTAAGCAGAGATAGATGTCCCTATCTCTGGAGGGTCTCCACTTTGAAGACCTATTTTTAATTTTCCTAGCTAGGAAACATATTAGCGTATAATTTGAGCTATTTCATTTTAGCCCAGGTGCAAATGCCTTCATTATTGTCTACATGCCATATAAAGACAATATTTTCTTAATTTTGTTTTATAATTAATTTTCATTTCATGCAGTAAAATAAAATTCCAGATGGGTTAAAGTTTTACTCTACAAATGAAAACTACAAGTATACTACAAGAAAATACAGACGTGTTAATTTAACTCTTCCTAGGCTCCCTGGAAGCAGCAGTCGAGAGATCAAAAGATGAGCTGCAGTAGGGAAATCTGCTACCTAAGACTCCTTTAGAGTCTTGGAAAGCAAGGATGTTACTCTGAGGATCAAGATGCACCTAACCCAAGCCATGGTATTTACAATTGCCTGATATGCACGTGAAAGCCAGACACGGAATAAAGAAGTCTGAAGAAGAATCAGTGCATTTGAATTGTGGTGCCAGAGAAGAATATTGAAAGTACTGTGGACTGTTAAAAGGAAAAATCAATCTGTTTTGGAAGAAATAGGACCAGAAAGCTCCTTAGAGGCCAGGACAGAGAGGCTCTGTCTTACATACTTTGGACATGCTATGAAGAGAGATTAGTTCCTGCAGAAGGACATCATGTTGGTAAAGTATAGGGACTGCATACAGAGGAAGGCCCTCACGGACACAGATTGACACCACAATGGCAACAATGTGCTCAAGCATACGGACAATTGTGAAGGTGTTTCAGGACTGGGCAAGTGCTTTGTTCTTCTGTCCATAAAGTCACTATGGGTCTGAACTGACTTGATGGCACCTAACAACAAGGACCTCTTGTGGAATAGTGGTTATGCATTGGGCCACTAACCATAAGGTTAGTAGTTCAAGACCACCAGATGCTCTGAGGGAGAAAGATGAGGCTCCCACCCCTTATAGAGTTATAGTCTCAGAAATCAAAAGGGGCAGTTCTACTCTGTTCTATAAAGTTACTTTGAGTTGGAAACTTGATGGCGATGAGTCCTGGGTTTTTTGAGAGGCTTAAAAAGAAAGGTATACTCAAACTTTAAAATAAAACAGGATATACTTTCTATAAAGATGCTCACCTTCCCGACACGATCACTGAAGACAAAGCGGGTGCATAAGCAAATGTGGTGGAGAAAGCTGATGGTGCCCGGCTATCAAAAGATATACTGTCTGGGGTCTTAAAGGTTTGAAGGTAAACAAGCACCCATCTAGCTCAGAAGCAACAAAGCCCACAAGGAAGAAGCACACCAGACTGTGTGATCACAAGGTGTCAATGGGATCAGGTATCAGGCATCGTCAGAACAAAAAATCATATTGTGAATGAGGGGGAGTATAGAGTGGAGACCCAAAGTCCATCTGTAGGCAACTGGACATCCCTTAGAGGAGGGTCCCTGGGAGGAGATGAGCCAGTCAGGGTGCAGTATAGCACTGATGAAACATACAACTTTCCTCTAGTTCTTTAATGCTTCCTCCCTCCCACTATTATAATCCCAATTCTACCTTACAAATCTGGCTAGACCAGAGGTTGTACACTGGTACAGATAGGAACAGGAAACACAGGGAATCCAGGACAGATAAACCCCTCAGGACCAATAATGAGATAGTGATACCAGGTCGAGAAGCGGAAGGTGGGGGAGAAAGGGGGAACTGATCACAATGATCTACATATAACCCCCTCCCTGGGGACAGACAACAGAAAAATGGTGAAGGGAGACATTGGACAGTGTAAGACATGAAAAAATAATAATAATTTATAAATTACCAATGGTTCATGAGGGAGGGAGGAAGGGAGGGAGGGGGGAAAATGAGGGGCTGATACCAAGGGCTCAAGTAGAAAGAAAATGTTTTGAGAATGATGATGGCAACAAATTTACAAGTGTGCTTGACACATGAATGGATGGATGGATTGTGATAAGAGTTGTATGAGCCCCCCAATAAAATGATGTTTAAAAAAATAATCAATTTTAGAACAATTAAAGAAAAAGAAATGTAGGACAGGTAAATCTAGAGATTGACAATTGCCTAGGGGCCTGGAGGGGTTGATAGGGGGATGATGAGTATAAGAAAATGTTCTGAAATTGATTGTGATGATGATTGCACAAATCTCAATGTGATTAAACCATTCCGTTGTATGGTATGTGAAGCATATTACAATCAAACTATTAAAATGAAAAATATTTTTTAAAAAGATGAGTCTTTTAATCAAGGGAAAAAATGAGGGCTTAATACCCTTTCTAAGTAACTGATAGGAAAATTAAAGAAAACTAAGGCCTATTGAAGGCTCTGAGATTTTTAAAAGCATAGTGTAAAATAGTGCTGAGAATATCTTTCCTCCTGATTTTGGACCATACATAGAAATGAATGGCTGGACAGCATACAACCACAGAAGTTTTCTCTATTGTTTGTTCAGAATAGCTCTGTTAATATTGATTAGTTGAGTGCTTTTGATGTACTAAAATCTATTGGAAAAATAACCTATTTTATGTTCATATTTAAAATAAATTGAATTTAAAGATGCACATATGTTCCCAGGAAGAGAGAAAACATTTTTAAAAAATATATTGAGTCATTTATTATGCCATTCACTCATATATTAAATTCTCAGGTTTCGTACCATAATGTACTATTAGGAAACCACTAAAATTTTTTACCTTTTCACTAAAAAGCAGTTAAGTCAATACAAATCCATATGCTTTTGACCTTTCAACTTTCTGAAATGAAGATGATATAAATAGGACCATCTCTATCAGAGGTAGTATACAGAATGCCAAGAAAATGATATTTCTGAGAAGTTGGCTATTGAAGATGCTAATGCTTAGAAAGACTTAAAGTCAATATGATTCCATATTTTTAAAGAACTTTAAATCTCAAAAAGTCCTTAAGATAAACCATTTTCATTGTAAATGGAAATATCGCAAAAGAAACAAACTATCAAGACTCCTATTAATTTAAGTTTTGCCATTAGAGTGAAATTGGATCCACTTACGTTCAAGAAGTATATTTACTAAATCAATAATCCCCTCTTGAATGTTTTATTTTTGAGATATTATAAATTAGTTGCATAATGCACTACAGGTTGGGAAAATTAGAGACATAGTAAAGAATTATTTAGAAATATACCTTACCTATCTGATTTGTGCTCGCAGAATAAAATGCATTGACTACAGCTGGTCCACTTATCCACCTATAGAAAATAAATAGGTTACAAATGATAGTGCATTATCTGCTTCAGACTACTCATGACAATAAACACATTATCACTATTTCTCATTGAATCTTGTCTTTAGCTCCCTAGGTGAGAGAACTCATTTAAAAAGTATTTTATTTCTTAAAAAGTCAGTATATATTCAGGTCTGCAATCTATTTCACTGGAGTGAATTTTTATGGAGGCATCCCTGGTCATACCAAGCCTATTAAAATTATGACCCTTAAAAAAGTAAGATGATATTGAAATGCCATTAGCTTTCTGTTCTTGATTCTGGGTAACTGTGCCTACAATTTGAAACAATATTAAAATACAGGTCTTAAACCTTCAGATTCAAATATAGTTTCTCAAGAATTAAAAATATTTTAACTTGCATTTATAAAAAAATCTTTATGGCAATAGGTGATCCCCTTGTCAAAGAGTCTAGTTTGGATTAACATACCTTCAATTATGGCCTGTTAAAACTGTTTTTTAAATTGCAACATTTAGCTAATTAAACAAAGGTCTATTTTTGCATGACAACTATAAAGTGAAGTCCAGGTAATTCTTAAGTAAACTGGTCAGTCAATGCTGTGATTTGGACTCCTGTTGTTGTTGTGTGCTGTCAAGTTAATTTTGACTCATGGAGACGCTACAGGATGGAGTGCAGTTGCCCCACAGGGGTTCCTCGTTGTAATCTTTATGAGAACCAATCACCAGCTCTTTGCTCCCCAGGAGTGCTGATGATTTTACCTGACAGACCTCTCCATAGGCAAGAGCTCTGCACCTTTGCACCCAGGGCTCCTTCTGTATAGTATCTATTTGTCTACCTATGTAAATCTCTCTGTATCTATATGATAGAGACATGAATGCATTAAATATGTATATGCAATGGACACATACACACCAAGATCTACGTGTAATATATACACATACACACATATAATCTATGTATTTTCTGTGTATAGATAGATTTACACACATATCTACACACACACACACACATATATATACTAGTTTCTGACTTTGGGAGACTCTTGTTTGAAGGAATGAGAAAGATACATAAATAAAGCTGAATGAGAAAAAAATAAAAACACAAAAAGATTCCCGACTGATAATCAAATATTAGTGTTCAGCTAAAGGAGAGGTGCCATGTACCCATGACTTTGTGTTAAGATGCTCTGAAAACTGCATATCAACAATCATGTATTAAGACGTTTTTTGCCCCAAAGAAGCTCCGTTTCAATAGAGTATGACTGTGCAATCAAGGAAAAGGGACACTGCTTAATTATCATATAACCTCTTCATTGTCCTCACAACACACATAATGAAGACATCATATCATCGGCTGACGGCATGTTCATAGGTCCTCCACTTTCATGACAACATTGAGTAATGTGATTGCTAGCCTGTTCACAGAAGTTTACAAACACTACAATGAGGCTAAGTCAGACCTGTCTCTAGACCCTGCCTGGCAAGCAAAGCAATACAAAGGCAACGGCCCAAGTCAGTGTTTCTCCTCTACTTCCAGTAACATGGAAGGTCAGACATGACCTCTTAAACGGATCTGAGGGAAGGTCAGATGTATCAAATATTGATAAATTCTGACATGTAGAGTTGTTATCTCCAATATTATGTTCAAGATTTTCATATTAAAGACTTTTTTTTAGTGCAGTCACCGTTTTTGTGATTTTTTTTCTTAGGAAGAAAATTAGCTTGACAGGAGGGAGCATGTTGAGCATTTCTTCTTTACATATTTTGTTGTTAAAAAGATAACATTTTAAAAAATGATGATGAGACTGCTCTCTTAGTCCTCCCTCACCTCATCACAGCTGAATCAACAATACTTCGCTGTTTCTTGCAGGTGGATGATGGAAAGTATATAATTTTATTTATCTTAATTAAACTCCGCATGCTTCCCACATGATTTATGGTGACTCACAACAGAGACGGTGTATTTGTAACCCCCGGGGTGTTACAATAAAACTCAGTGGTCAGAGACTAGTTACAGTAGCTAGATCCACAACTTTAAAACACACACACACCAACATAACAAAACAAATAATTATAAAATCCAAAAATTATGATCAGCAAGAATAAAGAATATGTTTATGCATATTCACAGGGTTACTATGATTCAGGTTCATATACGATTCCAAGATACTTGGCAAATGGGACAGATGGAAAATGTTTTCATACTGGTCCCAGGAGGGGACACTGACTTACTGTGATTGGATAAACAATCTCCCAACAGTTTCCCTGAGTGTTGTCAAACTCTGGTAGTAAGTGTAACAGCAGGTTCTATGGGGTAACAGTTATAGTGATTTACATTTGAATTGTAAGAGAAGCTATTTTAACATGTTCCAGATCTCAGTGCTTCTAAAGTCTTAGTTATGAACTTCAGATTTAATGATCATAAACTCTGTATCAAATTGTATGGATAATTCAAAATGATATATGCAAATCACTTGATTTTGGAATCCATCAAAAGAGCTGAGAATGTAATAGAAAAGGTGCTAATCTAGAATGTTTTGTTTTCTAACTAAGAAGATGTCTGAAACATTTAGCAACAGATCTCAAAGGAAGGCACTGATGACGTTTACAACATATTACCCATTTTTCCTTTATTGCTTATCCTAGTGCCTTTTTGTTATTCTGTTACATTATGCTGAGGGGTTTAGATTGCATTTTGATTAATGCTTGTAACTTTCCAGCAGGAAGAATTTTACATATTAAAATGTCCACTGTGAATTATCCCTCCATGAAAATCAGAAGCTATTTTTGACCACAGAACATTCTGGATAGGCTTAGAGAGCAACAGGGTGTAGCATGCTCTTTTCCCCCCTTAAAGTCTTTCGTGGTCCAGCCTCACCCCACCCTTGGGTGATTATCTGGGTGCACAGCAAGAAGCATTTTGTGCCTGGGAATGAAATGAGATCATTACATCTTAAATAAGGTGATGGTAAGAGTTTCAGGTTCAATGTCTAGTAAAATAGCTCACTATGTTAATGTAGAAACTAAGCTAACAGAAAATAGACTTTTCAAATGAAGGCCAATGTAATGAAACCTCTTAAGTACTTTTGATTTGGTTGCAAAAATTCAAGTTTCAGGAGAAACTTCCGTTTCTGGAACACAGACAAAATTGGCCCTGAACAGCCACAGGGAGAAGAGAAAGTGCACAAGCAGGAAAGTAAACCCAACGGGGGTGACATTTACCCCCAAACCGCGGGTTATTGTGGGCTCCGTGCAGTGAAAGTGAAGAAGACAGACACTACCAGGCTCTGTTCTGGAAGGAAGCACAGATCACTCTGCCTTGGATTTCTTTCCCTGCCCCCAGGGTTGTTGAGGGTTTGAGGGCGAGAGGGTAAGAAATACGGAAAGCACTTCAGAGGGAAGTTTGCCAGGCAAGTGGATTCTTGTTTGAGGACATCCAGGAGTAGAACAAAGAAGGGCTACTGCGAACAGCCCATCCCTCAGAGCTGCACGGATGACGTGATCCGAGATCTCACCGAAACCCCCTCGAGAGAGAGGGAACAGGTGTGTCTCTTCTCATGGCTCTGAAGAAAGGAGGGTGATGAAGCGAACACACAAAGACGTGGTTTTCACATGCTGACAGCCGGCTCCCAGAGCTTCTGGGTTGTAATAAACCCACTAGATTGCAAAAGCACTTAAAATGTCTCTCTCACCCACCTGGGTGGGACTTTACAACAGAAAACAACACACTGTTAATGCCCTCCTTCCCCGGTTAAGGGTACAATTCCTTAGCATTTTATGGTCTCAAAGCAACTCCTTGGAAATCGGTACTTTCGATAAAGTGGCTTTCTCAAGCATTCCTCGGTGGAAAGAAGCATCCTCATTTTGTAATTATCGTCACATAATCCTTCACATATATTAATATTTTCTCATCAAGGTATCATCATTTGTTGCAAACATCATTTGTTTCAAACCACTTATAAAAGATAGATAGTGCCTCTAATCTATAGGTGCCAAAAGAGACGCATAGTTATCACTCTTCTTCCTTATACATGTATAAACTAAGTGAGCTCATGGGGAAAAGACTATAGATGGAGGGGAAAAGGCCATCTGGTCACATTTAACAGAGATTCCTGAGATGAAACTTTGAGTATTAATGACCAACACCAACCCACCTCCACCCAATGCCATTTCCTTGCCAGCAGTTTTCAGAACAACAGCGTTGATTTCTGACTACTGCTACATGATCAGAGTCCCCTCAGCCACAAAGAAGCATTAGGACGCTTGCTCCTACACGACCCTGACGTCATTCTGCCAGATCCAGGCTATTCAATGAGCAGGCTTTTATGACAGCTATATGTTCTAATAACTACCTGAGTTATGTCCCAGCCACTTTACACAACGTAACTCCACAACCGCCCTGCATGACGAAATGTAGGTTCCTAGCCCTGGCTTCAAAATGAAAAACTGAAGCTTGGAGGCATTTTGCAAATCACCTAAGCTCACACGGTAAGTGGAAGAATGAGCATCAGAACCCAGTCTGCCAACCGCCAGCCACCCCATGCAACATCTGTAACAGATTCTCCTTCTACTTGTTCCATCCAGGGAACAAACACAGGAGAAGCAAAGCCAAACACAGGAGAAGCAAAGGGTCTCTGTTTATTGCTGTTGCAAAAGAGTTGAAGGACCAGAGTGACTTATCCAGTTCTGCCTGGGACAAGAGCCAGCACTCCCATTCTGACCTTAACTTTGAAGAGAGTCCATTTCTATTTCAACGAAATAATGAAAGCGGTTGCTAGTCTGTTTGTCTTTCTAGCAGTCTTCAGTCCATTAGGGGTGCTTCTTCAACTTGTGGCCACAGTGTAACATCTCTTTAGTCTTTAATTAGTCTTCACAAATGTACTGTATATATGAGTGTGTTACACAGCCACATGTAACTGGCCAGATTCAGAGAAATTTCCAATTAGGGAGTCATGACATGCGCACAGGTGGATCATTTCTGCCAGAATTTTATTTTACTGACTCTT